ACATGACATCACAGAATTTTTCTTAACCGAAAACAGAATTTGGTCTTAACCAAAACAGTAAATCATCGGCCCTGCGCTGATCGCTTTTTCAAAGAATCATCAGAAGAAATAATTCACGAAACACACTTGTGTAATAAGGACACTAAGCACAATCGTTTATGATAAATCGGCCACCAGAGCCAGAAAATAAAACTATATAGAAACTGTAGTACTTTAATTGCAATTTTAATTGGACGATTATCTTATGTAACCTCGTCGTAAGTTGTTTTAGTCAAGGTGATTTTTCTGAAAGGGTGAGTTCCTTGTTCTTCTCCTGAGAACTGGGTTCATTCGCTCCCCTTCTTGCAACACTTTAGAATATGTCATTTCTATGCCTACGACCCTTTGTGCGGGATACGAACTCATTTAGATTCTTTTGAAATAGATGCACAAATACTCTGACCATAAGTATTTTGAGCAAGAATCCAAGTGGAATATTTTAGGATTCTTAGATGAGTGTGTTCTAGAACCTCTTGAACGGAAAATAGAGTGCTATATTAAGTGTCTCGAAACAATTGCCGATACTGAAGAAGGCCAAAGACGTGAACAAGCAAAACAACTACTGCATAGATATAGATCGGTAAGTTGAAGAGGTAGATCTTTGGAATTATTGTAAACTGCCATGTACAAGAACCTTCATTTTTTCACAAAGCCATTGTCAGGGCATGGGTGACCTCTGGGGTTATCTAATGTTCAAGGCTCCGGGCTGGACTGGCAATGGCTCCATTGGGGCATAGGTGACCTCTGGGGTTGTCTGATGCTGAAGGCTCCGGGCCAAACCAGTGGGTTAAAAAAAAAATAAAATAGTGAATTATGATTATGCCAGTTAAGAACATTACTAACGTGTCCTTACGCTAGGGATCACGACCTGATTATCAAATAGCCAAAAATGATCGTAATTCCTCGATCAACCTTTATCAACCAATATTTAATAATTCTCTGGGTGTTGCAAATATCAGAGGTGGAACTGTTATTATTAGATCAAAGGAAAAGATGCCAATAGAGGCATCGTCTTCGGATGGTAAACGTGCTTTTGATAGCACTTTAGATTCGGATTTAATTTCTTCTGTGGAGGTCAAGAAGGTTAGTATTGGAAGCTTGTAAATAGTTGCAATATGTTTTCTTCCTTTTCTTATATCTTGGATATACACAGATCAAATCAACGGAAGAAAGTGACGAACAAAATAATGGGATTGTGGAGGTATCAAATACCTTTTATGTTATTATAGCTATATACATCTTTTAACCGAGAATATATTGTTTTTATGACTTCCGTAGGAAGAAAGTCAGAAAGCAAAAAATTATGATGAAAAAATTTTATCAGCTGATGAATCGGATTTGGAATATCCAAGAGAACAGATGAACGTAAGCAATAAAAAAAAATACATGTTGATTCTGATTAAAAAATTACTATTTCTATGTTTAATCTAAACTTTTTACCGAACGGATTAAATTCCGGAATATCATCTGCCTATAAGGACGAAGATGAAGAAAATTCTTTAGATGACAATTCTGATGAAGAAGATACGGTTGAACTTGCAGATATATCATTTAATTCATTTGTTGGTTCATCAAAAACCGATAACAAAAATTACAAATGGAAATTAAAGAATGGTGAAAACGTAAGAAGTCGGCTCATAGTTATGACAAAAAAGGCAATCGAAGAAGCGAAACAAGCCGAAAAAGTTGACACGAAAATATTGAGTGTTATAAGGTAATAATAATATTATTAATGGTACTTTTTTAATTTATTAATTACTTTATAAACATATGTACAGGTTGGGACTATCTTCCATAATAGATCTTTCGTCTGAGTTCAAAGGAGGCATGTACACCTGGTTCGGGGACAATTGGATACCATTAAAGAAAAAAGTATTATCAATAATTGACTTGAAAGTTGAAAGATTCACAGGAGAAGTATTAGAATTAATTACAAAAGTAGAAAATGTATATAAACTGTACTACTGTTGAAACTGCTATCAAATGTGGCCAAACTCTTACACATTTCATTATACTATACATTTAGCTTTGTGGTTCATACGATTATTTGGGGGCACGAAAAATTGTATTAGAAAAAATAATGAACGACCTATTGATAGTCAAATGAGACAAGTAGCAAAAATATATTTCAATATGTATGTTTATTATAATATTATTTGATTCTTTGTTTTGCTATTCACTGAAGTTGAAATTTTTACTTTTTCAGCATTGATTTATTTTTAGAAAATCCCTATATTTTCATCAAAAAAGATGGCCGGCCTCAAAACCATACTGAAATTCAATATGCGATGATTTTAACAGGCTCTATTTTAGACATAATATTCTCAGATCAACGAGATTATGTTAGACTGATATGGTAAGTATTTTATTTATTACCTTGAAGTGGTTATCAATTATGGATCTGAAAATTGATATACAAATTTCTTCAGGGGAGAAATAGTTTCGCAAGTCACGAATGATTCAAGAAGAAAGATTGACCTTTGTATAAAAACTGAAGATGGCACGAAAGAGCTGAGCCATTCCGAATGCGCTCGGGAAGCTACACTTGTAAAAATTATAAAAGATCGAAGTAAATCTCTGAGAACAAATAAATGCATACTTGACAAATATCTCGAGAGCAATATTCCTGATGAAGCTTTAAATGATACGGCAATTTTTGGATTACAGCTGGCGGGTAAATCACAGCATCATTGAACATCACACATCATGGTATTAGGATATATCGTTCTCACATCTAATAACATATTTTAGCTTTGGACGGTCAATTGATTGGAGTCGATTTACTGGACGAAGGGCTTTATTTTGGATTTGATGGACCAGCTTTTAAGTTTCCCGCACAGATTTGTAGTATTGACGTCTTAAGGCAAGCCTTAGAAATTTTATACTATTTTAAGGTGGGTGAATTTGATCTTTTTTTGAGGCTCTACACCCAATGATTGTAAAAACGCTTATGAAGACTCAATGGATAATAGGAGAAAATCATCAAAAAAGCAAAATATTTACATCAGAATTCAGGCGATAACAAGATTACCAATCTTCTACATTCTGAAAATATTGAGAAGCCAAATCACTTCAAAATTAATTATATCCGGAAAACTTATTTTGAACCAAAACAACAATCGTTAGCCAACGAATCTAAAAATTTGTATACTAAATTTGGAAACAAATAGTTTTCCATTAATATATATTAATTGTTCGTGCATCTGAATGAAAATTTAAATTTTTGAAATAAAAAATTACGCGTGACAAATTGTCACGCCGATCACCTTTGCCGAGACAAATTTTCATCATATGCGGGTTAGACATTAGTATCAATCTATCATATATAAACATGCAAAAGTGTGATTTTATATGATATAGCAATCACCAGGATTACAATAAAAATAAAGATAAATTTGAAAAAACATACATGTCTATCCACTTTATTGATTCAGGATAAATAAATTTACAAGGCACGTATGATGCAATATCATGATGGTTTAATAAAAATACATTTAACAAGAAATCACTTGGGGTTCACGTTCACATGATTACTTACTGCATCATATATTAAATTTGATATACACAAGTATAGGTTTGTATAATAATAGAATGTATATATTATTTTTTTCTTGATATTCCGTCGTACATGATACTTTGTATAATAATAGAGTGTATATATTATTTTTTTCTTGATATTCCGTCGTACATGATACATTGTGCGCATTTAGGCCAGATAAGGTTTCGGTCCGGAGTTGGAAATAAAGTCAGAACATATGTGGCATGAGTTAATTGACCGACTTTGGTTAGGGTACTAATTCCAGAAAAATTGAAAAATGGCACTTTGTGCTTGTGCCCCGTCTCACAAATAAGTTATGCATACGATAAGCCTTGTAAGGTGATACAGATAAATTTCATATGCGGAATTATTCTAATCTTTGTTAAGTGACAAATTATGTACGTATAATTCTGATTAAATGTTAACTATTCAAGGTTTTCTTTTAAAATTATCACATTCACATCGCCTATATCCGCTACTTTTTTGCATGTTTTGCAATATAGGTGTGAATGATGATTGCATTCGTCACAAACCTTACACCCGCGCTTCCACCCTTTAAAGATATG